TGATATAATATATTACCATTACAACAACAAAAATTAGTGGTGTCAATTTAGGTTTTGGCTCGAGTTCGAGTCTAAAATAAAAATGAACGGACATGAATATAGCCAACCTGAACACGACCTATTTATTAAATGAATCAAAATTTACTCAATAAAATCTAATCTCGATCCCATCCGACACAACAAATATTTAAATGGTGATATGTTAGTGTCAACTAGACTCAAAATTGATTTGATTATCTAATTTAGACTATGCAAATATATAAAAATTATAATGTGACATTATTTTTTTATTAAAAAATTTAAATAATGAATGTATTATTTTTGGTTGACTAGAACCCAAATCCGATTTATTTAGTCACTTGGTTGATTGGATACTCATTTATGTCATTATAAATAAAGTACACAATTAAAACCTTACATTTTTAAAGTTGTAAAATCTTGAAATTATGCACACTTCTTCATATGAGGTAGATTTTTCTCAACCCTTTTAATCTGATTAGAAGCATCATATATGATTAGAGTGAACAACTACATACATATCAAACAAAGTAAATGAATTAATTCATTTAAAGATAACAAACACAAAACAAAAAGGGTGTGATTTGAACATGTTTGAACTAAGTTCAAACAATATTCGAACCACATTCGAAACATGCTCGAACATGATTCAATCTAATCAAACATGGTTCAAGAAAGATTTGAACATGGCTCAAACAAAGATTGAGCTTCATTCGAACAAGATTCTAACATGGCTGTAAATTTTAATATGATGTCTGATATAATTTATGATTTAGATCTTAGGGTCTAAACAAAGTTCGAACTTGGTTCAAAACTCCAAGTAGAAGTTTGCACTTTGTTCATTTTTCAAACGTAGGGTTCTCCTTGGTCTTATTCCTATTATAGCATAAAGTTGCTAATATTCAAATTAGGTTCAAACCCTACAGAAATAAGTGAAACTAATTACACTGTAATTCTTTTGTTTTTTTCACTTGCTCTTTTAATTCCTTAAAACCAACACAATGATCAATCATATAATGTCCATATTTTTCACAAATCTGACATTCCACAGATGTATAAGAACGACGACCACCGCGAGTAGTTGGATGGTGAATGACCACTAGGAGAAGCTGGCGGCAATCGACTGCGAGTTGAATTGAAATTGAAGTTCCGTCCACGAGAGTAACCACAAGTAGCTACAAGAGCAAGAGAAGGTCTGATAGTTAAGTGTTTTTACGCACTGAATTTGCCACAATGTTCAATTCTTCGCTGTAGAATAGGGCATAAAAGTCATCTAAACTAATTGGATGCAACTTGGTTCGGATAGCAGTCTTAAAAGACTGATATGAAGCTGGTAAACAATTGAGGGTGTAGAGAATAACATCTTATGCATCAATGGATGATCCAATGTAGTAATAGCATCAACTTTATGTTTAATGTCTAAGATGTATTAGACCATCGTCTAATCCTTCATTTTCACCTGATGTAACTCGTTTTTGAGTTGTAGAAGACGTGAACGGTTGGTCAACTATAGCCGACGTTCAATCATTGTTCATGTAATATAGAAGGTGTGATGGTGGAGAACATAGCAGCTTCGAGGTTTTGATTAATGAGCGTCCAGGTGTGATAAAGAGGGTTCGGGACAATGGTACCATTGAAGTTCAGTAGTTGTTTGATGGGCTTTGGAATGATGCCAGTTAAGTAACCATGCATCAAAGCCATTAACCGTGAACAACTTGAGTTTTAGCCATTAATATTGATAAAGTTTATTTCTTCTTATTCAATTTTCTCTACCCAAACATACTACTGATGCAGTTATGCTACTCATTTATGATAATGATCCATTTCTTAAACCCTAAACCCTAAAGAAATAAGTGAAATTAATTACACTATAATTCCTTTTTTTTCACTTGCTCTTTTAATTCCTTAAAACCAACACAATGATCAATCATATAATGTATAGATTTTCCACAAATCCGACATTCCACAGATGTATAAGAACGACAACCACCGTGAGTCAAGCTGGATGGTGAATGACCACTAGGAGAAGCTGGCTCCAATCAACCGCGAGTTGAACTGAAATTAAAGTTTCGTCCACGAGTAGCTACAAGAGCGAGGGAAGGATCTGACAGTGAAGTATTTTTATGCATTGAATATGCCGCAATGTTTAGTTCTTCACTGCAATGAAGGGTATAGAAGTCATCTAAACTAATTGAATGCAACTTGGTTCGGATAGCAGTCTTAAAAGACTGGTCTTAAAAGACTGATATGAAACTGGTAAACCATTGAGGGTGTAGAGAATAACATCTTCTGCATCAATGGATGATCCAATGATAGTAATAACATCAACTTTATGTTTGAAGTCTAAGATGTATTAGACCATCATTTAATCCTACATTTTCACATGATGTCACTTGTTTTTGAGTTGTAGAAGACGTGAACGATTGGTCAACTGTAGCCGACGTTCAATCGTAGTTCATATCTCATGACAAGAATCAAAATTAAGGACATAAGGTGATAAAGAATGTGTGATGGTGGAAAACAGAGCAACTTCGAGGTTTTGATCAATGAGCGTCTAGGTGTGTTAAAGAGGGTTCAGAACAATCGTACCATTGAAGTTTAGTAGTTATTTGATGGGCTTTGGAATGACGCCAGTTAAGTAACCATGCATTAAAGCCATTAACATTGAACAACTTAAGTATTTGGGCCTTCCATATTGGGTGATTGTCTACTTTAAGCTGAACATTTTACCATGCTCTTGGCAGTGGTCATGCAAACTTAAGTTTAGGGGGAATAAATACCTCACTCGTAGGGAGGAGTGATAGAATCAAGGAGGAAGAAGATGATGAGTTTGCCATGATAAGGACGAAGAATTACTAAACATAGAAAGGTTTAACCTAAATCTCTGATACCATGATGAAAATCTATAAATACCAAACATCTACAGGGAAGAAGAAGGGAACAATAAACAAAGATTTCATTGGAAATTATGGTTATGTTTAACTCATACAAAATTCTATATATTAGTAAAGCAAGAAGAATTCCGTCAGAGATGAACGGCTTTGATGTTGAAGTCAGAAATCCAAAGGCAACTAGCAGATGTTGGATCATAGTGAGTGGAGAGGGTAGCCGTATTATCAATAAGCAATATTACTTATCAATTACTTTATCATATTTAATATAGTTTAAGTGCTATTAATTCATACAATGTGTGTTATATTAATGATTAATTCTATGTTGTTCTCTAATACCTTTCAGTGTGAAGGTCTATTGTTTTAATAAAACTCCAAACTCATTCAAATCCTATACAAAATAGTCTATAACATAATACAATACAATACAATCATAACAACTATAACATAATAGATTATAAATTTCATACAACATATATATCACAATCACAATAACTATGATACTATGGAATATAACTTTCATAAGGGAAAGTACAAACATGTAGCTAAAATATAATATATTATAATTTTGATATAATATAGTACCATTACAACAACAAAAATTAGTGGTGTCAATTTAGGTTTTGGCTCGAGTTCGAGTCTAAAATAAAAATGAACGGACATGAATATAGCCAACCTGAACACGACCTATTTATTAAATGAATCAAAATTTACTCAATAAAATCTAATCTCGATCCCATCCGACACAACAAATATTTAAATGGTGATATGTTAGTGTCAACTAGACTCAAAATTGATTTGATTATCTAATTTAGACTATGCAAATATATAAAAATTATAATGTGACATTATTTTTTTATTAAAAAATTTAAATAATGAATGTATTATTTTTGGTTGACTAGAACCCAAATCCGATTTATTTAGTCACTTGGTTGATTGGATACTCATTTATGTCATTATAAATAAAGTACACAATTAAAACCTTACATCTTTAAAGTTGTAAAATCTTGAAATTATACACACTTCTTCATATGAGGTAGAATTTTCTCAACCCTTTTAATTTGATCAGAAGCATCATATATGATTAGAGTGAACAGCTACATACATATCAAACAACGTAAATGAATTAATTCATTTAAAGATAACAAATACAAAACAAAAAGGGTGTGATTTGAACATGTTTGAACTAAGTTCAAATAATATTCAAACCACATTCGAAACATGCTCAAACATGATTCGATCTGATCAAACATGGTTCAAGAAAGATTTGAATATGGCTCAAACAAAGATTGAGCTTTGTTCGAACAAGATTCTAACATGACTGTAAATTTTAATACGGTGTTTGATATAATTCATGATTTAGATCTTAGGGTCTAAACAAAGTTCGAACTTGGTTCAAAACTTCAAGTAGAAGTTTGCACTTTGTTCATTTTTCAAACCTAGGGTTCTCCTTGGTCTTATTCCTATTATAGCATAAAGTTGCTAATATTCAAATTAGGTTCAAATATCATTAAACTAATATTTGGATAAGGTTCTAATATGATTGTAACAGTTAATATGATATTTAATAAATTTTATCGTTTAGATTTTAGTTTGGATAAGGTTAGAAACTCCTTTCATTCCTTAACTTAAGATTCTTCTTTAGTCTTCTTTCTATTATAACCTACGATTGTTAATGATGAATACATTTAAATCACGATGGCCAAAAAGATATCATTATCGTTGAACAATTGATGTTTAAAATGTAGATGCCATTCCTATGAAGTTTTAATCAGACTGATCACATGAGCTCTAATATCGCTAGAGACAGAAGGTGGTGGGATGATGGACATTTGAGCATCTCGGCTTTTAAAAAGTTCACATTCATTTGAATTGAAGCTCACGACATAGGCATCGAGTAGTCACAAATGAATTTATAGATATATTTTTATGAAAATAAATAATTGAGATATTTGATCAATTATGCATATAATGAGGGAAATAAATTTAAATTTCTCTAATTAAATGTATAATTTAAAGTACAAAAAAGTAATATTTTGACGTAAAGAACTAAAAAAAATGATAAATATTCAGATGTTAAAGAATCCTATAGCTTCGTGTTTTCCTTTTGTGTTGACGGACTAAGGGCTTATTTTTCTGCTTTAACCTACTCGAGCTAAAAAACCGAACGCCGCGTTCCTCTCCCTTCTCAGCCGCCTCACCATCTTCTTCCTCGACAAAAGGCGAATAGCGATAGCTCAGCTCAGAGAGGATGTCAGGTAATTACGGATCTGAAGGAGGGGACTTCTCGGCCCCACGTGGTGGCGGCGGCGGTGGCGGCGGATATGGAGGCCCTCAGAATCGAGGTTTTAGGGTTTATGTACTTTTCAAGAAGTATTTGTGTTTTGGGATTCGTAAAAATTAACCATTTATCTTTTTCTTGAAGCAGGCGGTGGCGGAGATCGCTGGAGCCGCGGGGGAAATAGTGGTGGACAACGAGGTGGTGGTCGTGGTGGCGGCGGCGGGCGGGAAGGGGATTGGAGATGCCCTAACCCTAGGTTTGTTTGATCTTGAGTTAGGGCTTATTTGGTTGTTTGCAAATGGTGATTTCAGTTTAATTAATTTTGTGTCTGGATGAAATCATGGCATTTCGGGGATTTTGAAATTGTTTTCAGACTCCAAAAAAATATTGATTTCTATCTACATTAAAAAAATTGATTACTAATTACATCCAGAATATTGATTTCTAAATACGTCCAACCAGACTATGGAATCTAATAAAATCATCATATTACAAGTCATGAATTTTAATTTAAAGTAACCAAATAGGCCCTGATGTCGGATTTTGTGTCAAATTTTCTTCTATTGTTCTTATCTGGCCTTCTCTGTATCTAGTTGCGGAAATCTGAACTTTGCAAGGCGAGTTGAGTGTAACAAATGTGGCGCTCCTAGCCCTGGTGGCAGTAGCGGAAGTGGTGGTCATAGCAGAGGTGGTGGTGGTGGTGGTGGAGGAGGAGGAGGAGGTTATAACAGGGGTGGTAGTGATGGAGGTTATAATCGTGGAGGTGGAGATTACGGTGGTGGACGTGGTGGGTATGGTGGAGGAAATCGTGGCTACAATGGAAATCGTGGTGATAGGGGTAGAGGTGATTCTTTCAACAGCCATGATAGGGAGGATGGTGGTCATGGTAGAGTGGGTAGAGAAGATGATGGAGATTATGGTGGCAGAGTAGATACTGGTTATGCTGAGGTTCCTCCTCCAGCGGCTCCCTCTTATGGCGGAGGTGGTGGAAGCTATCCTCCTGCACCAAGCTCTTATGGTGGGAGTGCTGCTTATGGACATGACTCTGCTCCGTCAGCTACTGCTTATGGTGGGGTGAATTCCTTGCCCCCATCTTATGGTGCCCCACCTCCGAATCCTTACAGCGGTGAGCATCCCTCTAGTCGGGGTGCTCCGATTTATGATGGTGGGCGTGGTGCTCCTCAGGCTGGTCGTGATATGGGTGGTGTTGCTCCGGCACCTTTTGCAGGTGGTGCTTATGGGGGTGCTCCTGTTGAACCTCCATCAAGTATTAAGCAATGTGATGACACATGTGGAGATACGTGTGACAATTCTAGAATTTACATCTCAAATTTGCCAACAGATGTGACAACTGATGAATTAAGGGATCTTTTTGGTGGCATAGGACAGGTATCGTTTAATTTTGTTCATTGTTTTTTTTCACTTATTGAAAAGATAAATTGCACAGATTTATAAATTCATTCTACACTCTTGTAAATTTTATTTCAGCCTAGGTTTTTTTGGGCATGCTGTATGGTTGTCACTTTGGATGGTTTAATTGAAGCACTGTTACTGTAATGAACGGATTTAGTTTTTGCAGATTGATTTTCATTTAATTCTTACAATGCCAGAAATTCTTCATATCATAGAAATTGTCTGTTTGAGTGCCATCTTATGAGCCAAATATTGAACATTTTTTTTAATCTTGCTGATGTTTCTGTTGCCAAGCAATTAACCTTTTTTTATCTTCTTGGTTTTTGTTAGTCCACTGTGTTGTAGTATATATTCTTGCTTATTTTTAATTATTTGACTTCATGATATTCCCTTTTTCTTCTGATGCAGTGGGGATTGTTTTTCCTGAATAGTGATAATGCTTATTATGTTTATTTGGTTCCTTTTTCCAAGAAGTAAGCATGATTTTTTGTAGATTATGTTGGAAACTTAACTCACACTTATGTAACACAAAGCAAAAAAAGAAGTTTCCACTAGCTTTTTTCTCATGGGAGGCATACCGGTTTTAGTTTTACCTCTTAACCATTTATCATCATCATCATTAGCTTTATACCAACTATTTGAGGTTGATTTTATATATCCTTATTTTTTATTTCTTTCTATTGAGTGCTACATTCGGTATTAAATATATTGTTATTAGTAATTCATTTTGAGCAACTTCAATCTATTTTATTTTTTTTCCTACCATTTTTCTACATAATTCTTTGATACCAATTTTATTAACCCATTTAATAGGCTTATTTTCTATCCATCAATATATATATCTCTAAATGATCTAAATTCATTTGCAACACTTTTATCTTTAATATATACTATTTTAATCATCATTTTGATATAATCATTAATTTATCCTTCGTAAATTTATCGCATATCCATTTTAAAATTATCATTTTCACCATGTTTAACTTATTTATTAATGAAATAATTATTGCTCAACCCTTAGATTTTTATTTTGATTAAATATTTTATAATTCCATATGATTTTTTAATTAAATATAATCAAATAGTTAAGTTATTATTGCTAGGTTGACCTGAATTCGACCCAACGTACTAGAATTTGACCTTATTTTTTTAATCACTTAAGCTAACCCGAATCAACTTTAATCTTACATGGGTTGACTTAAACTTAGATTTTTGTTTAGGTTTGAGTTAGGTTTTTGCGTCAGATCAATTTTGATGCCCCTATCTAGATACACCTTAAGATCAATACAAATTATATGAAGATCATTTTTTTTGCTTTGTATACTTTTCCATTAAATTTCTTTAAAAAATCATTTTCATAGTGGATCTTCCGGCCATGGAACCAAATTGATTATTCAAAATTGATATAATTTTTTAGTTAATGTTTAATTACTCTTTCTCATAACTCCATTTTATGATTCATAAGTTTGATTTCTCTAGAATTGTTATAATCTTGATCATCTATTTTATTTTTAAATCTTGGAATAAAAATACTTCTTTAATAATTTGTTTAACCTCTTTGTCTTCAAAATTCTTTTAAAAAAATTGTTTACTAAAACAAGGGTATCCCCACAAATCTCCAAATCTCTATAGGTTTCTTATTTGGATGATTGAACCTAAAGTTTTATTTTTATGTTTCTACTTTCTACTTCAAATTTGTTTCTACTTACTTTTTGGATCAATGTATCATGTTTTTTATTTTATTTTCTTGTTCATTATGAACTTCTTAAATAATTTAGTTTTTGAAATTTCTATAAGCACTATGAATGTTCTCATTGCCCATCCTACTTGAACTTATATGTCCATTTAAGCAACTATCCATAATTATTCTTTCTTCCTCAAGCTTATGGGAAAAAATATTTATTGGGATTGATGTTAATGGAATTCTAAGTTTGCTTTCTCTAAGCACTTCTGTATTAATAATCCTACTTTTCATGCCATTAATAGTATGCTAAATGATTGCATAAGAAAGATATTATTATTTAAGAATTAAGGATATTTTTAAGGTTTGTGATAGTTACATGAGAATCAAATTTATATTCATTCAATTAAGTAATGGGATAGGGATTAATGGAGTTTGATCTTAGAAAACTGATACCATAGAAGAGAACCATTTTGTTTTATGTTCGAAAGATCGATGCTTTAATATGCTAGTAGAATCAATAGAAAAATATAAAGAGGAACAAAATGATCTTTGTGTGAATTTTATTAATCTTTGAAAATCATGCGATCAACTGTCAAGAGAGTTTATTATTATTATTTTTTTGCATGATGGAGAAAATGCATTTAGAATTATGTTGAAGATATTAAATATATTCATGATAGAGTGTTGATGGGCGTTATAATTAATTTGAAGAATGGAGTGTACGATTAAAAGAGCATTATAGCAAGGCGTAATCTCAACTTTATAATTTTATTGGTCATGGAGATGTTTAGGAAATATATGTAAAGTGATATACCTACCTGCATACTATATTATTTTGAGTATTTTCAGGTGAAATTTTTTGGATAGGTGTTAACTATGATTAAAGTTAAAAATTAGCATAGAAATATTTTTTTTATAAGATAATAGGATTAGGATTAGTTTATTAAAAAGTAATTATATTATGTTTAATTGAAGCGGCTGTGGACTTGATAATAGTTACTGTTGGTATAACATCAATGTGATACACATGTTTTACTGTCTTAGATGTATTATACTTAAAAAAAGTGGGAAATCAATTAGGACATTATTTCAAAAGTTAAAGTTTAGTGGTTAAAATGGAGATATATCTCATGCATAGTTTGTGATAATATGATATTTGTGAATTACTGTCAGATGCATTTAGCTACAATAGATTGGGTATGTTGTATTTGTTTGATTGTTGGGAAATAAAGAAACCATTGACGACCGAGTTGGTCTGGGAAAATCAGATTTGTTGGATGAGTTTATGGTGAAATTTGGAGAGATATTATGATAAATAATTATATTAGAGATACTCTAAGAGGGTGTTTTTTTATTATAAGTTACATTGGAGATGTGTCATTATGTATTCTTTGCTTTGGAACTAAGGAAATTTTATACTGGTTCAGTTTAACTGGGGTAAGATTTGCAACAGTGCTGTTTTCATTTTTTATGTTTTGATTTCATAATCTCCAGCGTAGGTATTATGTATTCAATACCGTTTAGTGTTTACCAACCATACTATTGGCGTTTGTACATGCATCTTTTGTTCTGATTGTTCTTTTCCGCTAACTTTGTTGTGTTGATTGGAAATATATACTTGTTTTGGTTTTTGATGCATCATAATATTGGCAATTTTGTTTTGCAGGTTGGAAGGATCAAACAGAAACGTGGTTATAAAGATCAGTGGCCCTGGAATATAAAGATATATACTGATGACGCTGGAAATAGTAAAGGGGATGCTGTTCTTTCCTATGAAGATCCTGCAGCAGCACATTCTGCTGGAAGCTTCTATAACAGTGAGCTCTGCCATTGTTTATCCTGATTTTGATGTGTTTATAACGTATTATAGAAATGCTTATGCTCTTTTCTTTTTGTCAGATCATGTTTTGAGGGGCCACCCTATCCAAGTTACTATGGCTGAAAAGACTGCACCTAAACCTGCTCCTGCATATGGTCACGGGTACTTCTTCATTTTTATTTTGACATTTTTTTTTTCTGTTTGGTTGATTCCCATGCTTGCAATGTGTGGATTCATCCTTTACCATGAACTCAATAGTCTAAAATATGTTTTTAGGTAGGTAAGATTTTGTTATTTAGTATCCATCTCAATCTAAATGTTCTTTCAAGTTTTTATTTTGTTAGCTGCCTTTAACATGCTAGTTCATGGTTGTTCATCTGCTAGATTTTGATATTTCAGATTTGTATCCACTGGAACTTTTCAATAAATGATTTTAAAACTTAGAATTCAATATCCCAGCCAGCTCTTTTTAGACTACCATAATATTCAACTTTCACACAGGAGTTTTGATTGTGGATTATCTTTAAAGGATAGTTATTCCACTGTACTTATTTATTTTAGTGCAGAGCTGAAGAACTAAGAATTATTCCCTTAGGAGCCTAAATTAAGGGCACTTCCTGTGATGTGCTAGTTTGTCCGGATTTCTCTCTTAATCTCTTTACTTTAGACAGGATTTTATGTAGTGGCATTATAAATATTTAGAATTTCCTGCTTTAAAAATCCAGCCTTTTTGCTGATGATTCCATTGAATTTGGTTTCCACCCTCTATTTTCATGATGTAAAAAGATTCAATAATAATTTTCATTTCGAGTAATATTTTTTCACTAAATCTGCTGTTTGGTTGCTACGAAAAGCTAATGGTTGAGGGGCTCCAATTCAGAGAAGTGCCTTGGTGTAACGTGACTTTTGTTTGTTTATTTTGTTTCTTTATGACATCCTTTCCTAATGATATTGTGAAAATCGTGTATCCATTTCCTAAAGCCTTTAATACTGTGGCCAGCAGTCCAATAATCCATGAAACATTTTTAGAAGTCTCTGGTGGCCTGTACTCTAGCTATTTAGGATCATTTTCGAAAGCCTCTAAGGTGCTCGCCAGCTTTCCTGCATATGTGGAAAATCCCCAGTAGGTTTCAATCCAGAATTTTCTCTTGCTGTTGTCAAAATCTAGATTCCCAACTTCTGTCATACAGCTAATTCCACACAAGAAAATCCTGCCGCTTGTTCATATAAAAAATCCTTATTTTTCTATATTATGTAGTCCTCTTGTTTCCAGGTGAAGGCGGATAATATTATTTGTTTGGTTCTCTGAATTTGCCTCTATTATTTTCCCATTTTCCCCATAGATAGGTTTTATTTCTTTCTATTCTAAGGTCACCAATTGGGTTGTGTATCTTGTATAAATATGTATTTTTATATTTCCAATTTCTCTCAGATTTCTAATTCCTTTCATTTTGTCTTCGTCTAGTTCAAAATTATGACGGTGGTCTTACAAGGAATTAGGGATGTCAAAACAGGTTGAAAGGTACAATTTAGATCCAGCTCAAAATTGACTCGATCCGAATCCAGTCAACCTGAACCTGACCCATTTAATAAATGGGTCAAAAACACCAACCCAAACCTATCCTGTTAACCCGTTTGGTTAAAAAAATTATAACTTAATTTTTTTTAATAATTTATTAACTATAAAGTTTAAGATGTTTGATACAAAATAAGAAGATTATTTCCAAAAGTAAAAAAAAAAATGTTAAGAAAAAAAATATTAAATGGGTCATTTTCGGGTAAAAACCGCTTCATGAAAAACCCAACACGAACCTAATCTATTTAACAATTACATTGAAAAATCTAACCCGAACCCGACCCATTTCTTAAAACGGTCAACCCGAACCCATGTTTTTCGGGTTGGGTTGGCGGATATGGTTATTTATTGACATCCCTACATGAAATGGCCGCTTATAGAAGCTATTCCTTCGATGCCACATCTAGTAGTTAATCAAAATCACATGATAACAATTTAGTCAAAAGATTCTCTCCAACTCATCAGTTGTTGGGCACAAATAAAAAAAAAACTACCTTTAATGGATCCAATCGGTTATATTGTTCCTCAAAAGAGGAGGCAAAGATGATTATCTTATTGGTACTACTATTCCTTTAAAAAAGAACACTTTAAATTCAAAAGACGGGGGATTGAAAATAACAATGTACATATCAGCGATATAGAAAATGAAATTCGATACAATTTCATGTTTAATGGATCTACAAAAAAAATTTGTGATGCCTTAAGGAAATTTACTCTGACAATAAGAGTACTTCATAATTATTTGAAATTAAAGGCATTTTCTGTGATCTTTAACAAGGGATCTCTCTATAGCCCAATTCTTCAATTCCCTTTCCTGATATTGGCAATAACTGGAATGGCTTTGTAGAATTTAATTTGGAGCGCCCAGGATCTGCCCCAAGTACCAAAATAATGTTGAGAGAGATATGATGTCCAAGTTTTGTCTTGGATTAAATAAAAGCCGGATGAATTCAGAGGTAGCCGGTAGGATATATGGAATAAAGGTTCTTCTATTAAGAAGTCATCTCGGAAGTCCTTAGAGAAGAAAGTCAGAAGAAGATCATGGTTGGAAATCAATGAGCTTCAACTTGCCTGGAGAGTTCATCTATTGCTTCTCAAGATATGCATACTTCTAATGATAACTTTATTAGGTTAAAAATGATAGTGGTATGATCAATACCATATGTTTGGGCACACAAGTGAAATATGCTTAAAAATTCATGTGGAGCTTACCGATTGATAATTGAGACTTTACACCTCTAATAATGATAAATCTAAACCAACTCCCTTCCTTTTCAACAAAGATAGAGATAAACATGTTGCAAAAAATGTTTTGCTCTGGATCTATTGTTCAAAAAAGTATAATTTTTAAATGCCTTTAATGCAACAAATGAAATACCATGCAACCATAATTCTGGATTGTGGCCTTTGGAGATTCATATCACATGATAGGGAATGCCTCATTATTCCTTACTTTTCAATCTTGTTTAGAAAAATATATTATTAGGATTGTTGATGGGTCAATAACTTAATTGACATCATGAAAATTTGCTTCACTAGCTCTCTATCTTAAAAATAGGTTATCTTAGCTCCCAAACTTACCCGCAACTTAATATTCATCTATACAACAACAACAACATCAAGCCTTTATCCCACTATGTGGGGTCGGCTACATGAATCCTTTTCCTCTATTGTGTCCAATTAAAAGTCAATTTCTCGTTTAAATCTAATAAAGAAAGGTCATTCCTAATATTTTCTAACCAAGTCTTTTTAGGTCTGCCTCTACATTTCTTAACATAAGTCAAATCTAATACCTCTACTCTCCTAACCGGGTTATCGAAAGGCTGTCGTTTTATATGACCAAACCATCTAAGGCGACTATCTCTAATCTGTTCTTCTACTGGAGCTACTCCAACCTTATCACGTATATGCTCATTCGTATCCTATCTCTAAGGGTAAAGCCACTCACCCACCTGAGCATCCTCATCTCTGCCACACTTAACAAAGAATTATGCTTCTCTTTTAATGGCCAACATTCAGCACCATAAAGCATTGCAAGCCTCACTACCATCTTATAGAATTTTCCCTTAAGTTTGAGGTAACAAGCCCGATGCATTCCTCCACTTCAACCATCCAACTTGAATTCTGCTGATAATATCCCCATCTATTTCACCATCACTCTGAACAATAGATCCAAGATATCTAAAACGTGTACTCTTATTAATGACTTGATCGCCCAAAGTCACAATCCCCTCACTAGGACTATTACTACTAAAATTACACTCCATATATTCCGTTTTAGATCTACTCAAGCAATGGCTTCCATAGTCGACCTACCCGGCATGATTCCAAATTGATTTTGAGAAACATTAGTATCACGCCGCAACCTACACTCCATAACTCGCTCCCATAGTTTAAAGTATGACACATTAACTTAATTCCTCTATAATTCGCACAATCTTGTGCATCACCTTTATTCTTAAAAATAGAAATTAACATACTCATTCTCCACTTAATATTCATCTATAAAATTACCAAATATATAAGCTGCATCATCAACTTTTTTCCTACTCATTATGAATTCCTTAATGCTCCCTTGGGGAGGATGATTGATAATACTAAAAAAATGTTAGATTCTTCCCCTTGAATGTTGAAAATCTTGGAATACAACAGGTGAAATATAGTTAATATGTATTTTATTCTAATGATAGTGCAATCTTGTTATGCCATTTTCACCTTGGCCATTATAGTTTCTCATATCTAAAAAATTATTTTCTTAATAAAAAAACAAAAAATTTATAATTTAAAATTTGTCAATTGTCTAAATATACTTGGATATTTATCCTAATCATCCATATAAAACTTCCCAACTATTTACTGCTATAAATTGTGATGTTTGGGGATCATCTTAGTTGAAAAATATATCTTATGCTAGGTGTTTTATATCCTTTGTTGATGATCATAGTAGAACCGCTTGGAGATTTCTAGTGAAAGATAAAAATGAAATTGGTTCTATTTTTCAAAAATTCATTTCTTGATACAAATTCAATTTAAAACCCAAATTCAAGCTTTCATGACAGACAATGGGAGAAAATATTTTCTTTCCATTCTTAGAAATTCTCTATTACAACAAATGATTGTACACCAAAGTTTTTATATTATTACCCAACTAAATGGAATAACATAAAAGAAAAATGGTCACATTTTGGAAGTTGCTTGATTAAGTATGTTCACCAGCACTATTTTAAAACATTATTTGGGAGAGGTTGTTTCTATTGCTACATGTTTCAATAATCACATACTATCAAGAATTTTAAAATTTAAAAAAGCAAATTCCAATCTACCATACCCCTCAGGTTATTCAGTTATTCTGCCTTGCGAATATTCCTCCATATCAAAGAAGCAAACTTGACCCAGAAGCAAGAAAATTTATTTTTATTGGGTACTCACCTCATTGATAAGTATACAAATGTTATTCTTATAACTTCAAAAGATGTTACAGCAATATGGATGGAAGATTTTTTGAAAATAAAATGTTTTACCCCAAAACTCACATTTCAGGGGGAGAACTTCAACTCATTTTACGAGTGTGAGTTTTGTAATAATA